ATACATGTTCAGTATAATTATGCATATTAATTTGTACGTGAATAGTATGAATATATTTGAAAGTTACGGAACTAAAAATACTGTTAAAATTACTATATTATTCAAAGATTATGCTATATTTGAATAAATTTAAATTCTTATCCTTATGTATGAGACATTAAGTTTATTATAATTTTCACTTTTATACTTATAAATTTAGAGAACTATCTTATATGTTGCTGTTAATTTGTATGTAATTAGGAAAATAAGTCATTGTCCTTACTCAAATTTTAAAATTTTTTCAAAATTTGAGTATAATTTGTGAAGAATAATACGCCAAAAGTTTATTACATGGTTTAAACAATTAATTGAAAAGTACAAATATTTTTCAAAGCATTTTTGAAATGTATGAAATATAGAAGTTTTGTTAAATTATATGTATGAGCGTGTATTATACGATTGTAATAGGGGTATTTACTAGGATGTGGGGCTTGAAAAATATTAATGAGATAGATATTAAATGGGATTCTGCTGATAGGGCGGCACTTCGTTGGCATATGTACTCAGGTGATCGTCAAGATCATCCTGATATACACTGTATTCTTGCTATTATTCTGAATAAGCTGATGCCTTGATCCTATTGTCTATCATTCATGTATTCATGAGTTGGGATTGCAGAATATTAAAGAATTTGATGAATGTAAGAATGATGAATGTTCTACTGTAGGAATAGATACATGGCATATATCTTTATTTTAACAGGTGAGAATAAAAAATCTAAAGTGAGAATAAAAAATCTAAAATAAGGTCATACATATAGAAGGCTTTAGAGTTTCATGAATAAAAATCTCTTTTTCCTACCTTTTCTTCCTTTGGAAGAGAATTTAGATTTTTATTTTAACTTCTTTTGTTTAATATTAACAACATGAACAAAGAAGGTAAAGGGTAAATTTGTAACATAAAAACTATTATAAAAACTGACTGGATAGAAAGTATTCGTATGAACGGTCCATGTTATTTTTGTGAGGACCTGAATTTTATTTTACTTACTTTTATTTTATTTTACTAGCTTAATTAATTATTTATTTATTCATTTGCTCCAATTCAATAACTTTATCCTTTTTAATTGCATTTACATGGAACATTGTCTCATTTTATATTTTTAAAACGTTTGCTAGTAAATTTAATTTTTCTACAGCTCGATTAGCGATAAATAGTGAATACACATTTTTCGAGGCAAAATTCGGTTTGAAAGTGCATTTTTGGAGAATTAAGGACGATCAATAGTGGACTAAGAAAAATTAGTTGAGGGATTAGAGGTAAGTGAGTTAAATTAAACTCAATTTGCAGTATTAATGGTCTACTATTCATTTGTTGACTTTTTGTACCAAAACATCTTTATGTCATTTCTTTCTTGTCATTCCATCACTTCACCAACAACACACACAAACCCTTTCCTTCTTCTTCTCTTTGGCCGGCCAGTCTTCCTCATCTTCTTACCAAAATTTCAGCTAGCATTTCTTCCATTTCTACTCCAAAAACACACTCCAAACTTGTACCTTTTCTTGGAACATCACTCAAGCTTGAAGGGAGACTTGAAGGAGGAAGGAACCTTGGTGGTTTAGAACTTAAACTCTAGTGGTTTGGTCTTCATCTTTTGGAAGTAAGGTAACACCCCAAAGCTCTCATTTTTCCTTCCAACTTATGGTTTGTTTAGTTAGTTTTAACTAGTTAAGCATTGGATTGTTGATGGGTTCAATGAACCTTGACTCTAGGTAGATGTCTTGAGATGGCTTCTTAGATAGTGGCCTTAAGGAATTATTGTGTGTTTAGTTGTTTGTTTGATGATTGTTTTAATGAATTATGGCTTAAATTTGGTTGGGAAAGTTGAAAAGAAAAGTTGAAGAGAGAATGGAGCAATTTGTCCGAAATTTCTGCTGCTTGTTTCCCTGATGTTAATTTCGAATTTTGTGGTTATTTTGGTGCCAAAATGCTTGTTATATGTTGGTGTTTATGTGTATCAATTATCTCTCAAAAAGCATTTCATTTGGTTGAATTAAAGTTGGGTTAAAGTGAGAATGCAAATCTGGAAAATTTCTGATCAGGATACCAGACCAGTGTGTATGTATCAGCCCATAGCTTTTTGTCCAGGAGTCAAAATCAAGTGCCGTTTATGGCATCTGAAATTAGACTCCAAGGGTTTTCCAATGGTATAAAATGCACCTTCTAATTCGTTTTCTATAAGTCGTAGTGAACCAGAAAATTTGATTGATTTTCCTCACTGTTTTCATCCGAGAAACAAGCATAGCTGCAGTTTGTAGCTCATTTTTACCCATCTTATAAAATGAATTTTAAAACAGTTTCTTCCAGTGAATTTTGGAATTTTGAGTCTAGTTTTCAATGCCACAAACCACGCAAAATTTTCAATTGTTTAACTTTAGTTATGACCAGATTTTGAAACTGTGTCAGGTGCTCCAAAACTGGAAATTCCGTGAACCAGGTCCCAAAAATCAGCTTTCCAAAAACTGTTGTATCTTGGTGTAGAAAGGTCCGAATTGAGTTCTGTTTGTTGTGTTTGAAACTAGACTTGGAGTTATTTTAGTGGTATAAATTTCAAAAGCTGATTCTATTTCTATGAATTTTACCAAATTTTCAAAATTTACTGAAAATGCAAGACTGTTTTGCTCTGTTCTTGCTGGAATAGTGAGTTGGAGCTAAAATTTGAATGATTTTGGATTTTAATCTGGGAAAAGTGTCTTCTAGAGAGTTTTAGTGCATTAAATTTAGTTTCCAACAGTATAAGGTTTCTAATTTTTGGACTTACAGAACTCGAGATATGATTTTTCTAAGTGGTGTCACACAAAGCTGGAATTTTCTGGTTTCAAACAAAATGCTCTTTTAAGAACTCTCAACTTTCCTCTGAGATTGTTAGTTTCATTTTAACTTTGATTTCATGGATGGATACAAGGTCTCTTTGAACATTTGACCTTCATTTTGAATCTTGGTTCCCAAAGGATTAAACCTCTCTTGATGCGTTTTCTTGGTTGCCTAACTTTCTTGGTTAATTGCACATCAATTCATACTTGATAAATGGATTTCAACCCCTAGCCTTATGCCCTTGATTTCCATGACGTTGAACTCTAAAAATGGAACGTTTTAGTTAGAGTAATTTTTGGAGAATTTCACTAGTTTATACTCAAAACTTGGAAGCTTCAACTTTAAAATTTACTATGGAAATGAGTGGAGTTTTGATGAATTCTGACTCCATTAGTTTAGAAAATGTGAACGCTCCTTATATTCTAAAACTTGGGCGTAGGACTAGAAGTTTTGAGAGATGGAAAACCATCTTTCTTTTTCTCAATTTTCGTGCCGAAGTAAAAATTAAGTACTTTCGTTTGGAACTGAGGGTTCTTGCCAAGATTTGACTCGAAAATGACTTTTGAGTTCCCTTTGAGTATTATTCAATGATGTAGCGAGAAAGGCTCCTTTAACTTGACTCGAACTTGTGATCTTGAGAGTGGGTAGCAAGAAGATATTTTTCTTATTAGCCTTGGTCGAGTACCTAGGTAATCGTGATTATGCATATCTCAGGTGGTCACGTGGACGCCGAGGAGCTTGTCTGACCTCTCGTTTTTGCTCTTGTTTTGCCTTGACTTTTGATGAGAGTCAAGTGCATGTTCAATGTTACTATGATTGAAATGATATTTTATAAGTGCTCTATGATACGTGACCTTGTCGAGGCGAGGGCGTACTTTACCGCCCTCATCCTCTCTCTCTCTTGATTAAATGATACTTGTTACATGAATGTTTGTGATTTACACTTATACTCAAACATTTTTAACTCGTAGCATTGAGCGGTAGCATGTACCACACCCTATTCGGGTGGAGGTGTCTCTCATACCAACTCAGTGCTATGATCGATTCTCTGAGCAGCAGCGTGTACCACACCCTATTCGGGTGGGAGGTGCCTCTCATACCAACTCAGAGCCATGAACAATTTTAAGTCGATTGGAGCGTTGTCTCATCGATCAATCTTGCTTATGGGGACGCCCCAACCCATTGGCTAATCTTGCTTGTGGGAAGTAAGTGGAGCACTATGGTCTTGTTGTTACTTGAGTTGACGGAGAGTTAACCCCGGACGGCTTGAATCGATCGGGATGTGGAAATAACTCCTGAGAGCTCCTGTATCCTTCCATGTGTGTTTATTTCCTAATTGTGCATTTAAATAAAAGTTCATGTTAAAGTTGCTTTCAAGTATATTATTTGATTGATTGGTACTACTTGCTTACTTGCTTGATTTTCTTGGCCTCACTGAGCGTTAGTTTATCTCTTTAAGTTTGTTTTCCTTAATAGGTTTTGGAGGTGGAAGTTGGAAGTTCTAAACTAGCGACTTTTGGTTGAAAATAGTATACTTTTATATGTTGTTGGAGACCATTAAAGTGTAAATTTTGTTATACTTCGGTATTTTGGATTGTAATTGTAAATGGTATAGTTGGGAGTTTTGGGACTTCTCTATTCGAAATATTTTTAAATTAAGTCGATGGTTGACTTGTGGTTCTTTATTAAACTTGAATGAGTGCGTGAGTCCTGATGAGAGTTGGACAAGAGTTCCACTGATACCGAGAGTTCGCCCTAGGAAGAGGTGGGGGCATCACAATTTTAAAATCAAGAGGGGTTGTTCTCACTTTGCAAAAATTAGAGGGAAAGTTAGTATAATTTATCCCTTCTTTTTTAAGAGAATCAATAATAGAATTCTATCTATCTTTTGATGACTCTTATTTAGAACTTATCGATCACAGATGAAACGTCTTGTCAATTAAATTAATTGTCGCAATTGGAGTGCACCTAGCACGACTATCGATATGTATTCTCCATGATTATCAACTTTGCATTCATTAGCATATGATCTATCTCTGCCCAATGAATTTCTCATTGGATGAGAAATAGTTTAATTTTCGAACTCATCTGTAGTCCATTACATATTCATTGACCATTCTATCTTTATATGTTTCAACCTTCAGGTTAACAATGCAGCGGCAATTATCTTGAGAAGAGCAACAGACCTTTCTGCTGAAGATTTTTCACGTGTATTGGGAACAAATCTTGAGGGTCCTTACCACTTGTGTCAACTTGCGTATCCGCTTCTGAAAGTATCAGAAGCTAGAAGTATTGTTTTTATCTCATCTGTGGCTGGTGGCACTGCATTGCCGGGTACTTCAATTTATGGAAGTTCAAAAGGTAAGACGCACCTTTAATTACTCAATTACTAGTACCTAATGAAAATCAATTTTTGTATGTTTTTTTCTTTTAACAATTAGCGACACGTATACTGTCTTACTCTAATTGGAAGGGAAGTAAGACCTGATTATATGAGGAATTAGTAGCAATTGGAACAAAACTAAACCATAAAAATGTGCTGCTAATTGAACTCTAGGAGGATTTGGAATTTAAATTCTTGACTTATAGCCTAGAAACCGCATGTTGATTGAATTTTATATTTTTTTCTAATACGGCGTATTTAGTATCTAAAACATCTGCTTTAGTAACAGTGCCATAATTAACGACTGAAGCTTAATTAAAATATGTGTTTGGATAAAAGAGAGTGTGTGGATTGTAAATCGACCGATAATCCACTCATGTTAATTGCAAAAGACATGTAAATGACAATAAAGAAATGATTAGCATAAATAGTTACAGTGGCAATGTGGCGCCCCCACTTCTCCCTAAGGCGAATCAAAGGGTATCCGCGGAACGCCTGCCTAGCTCTCGCCAGGGCTCAATTCCATTCAAGCTTATTACCGGACACATGATACAAATCAATAACTTAGATACAATAAATGCGGAAGTGTTCAAGCTTAATAATAGTCATCCGTTATCCAACCCGCGCATCGGGTGTTCAACATACATCATGAATCCCAAATATACATCATGCCCCCAAAAGTTACATTTCAATTTCCCAAAATACAACCCAAAACCAAGACATAGCCATAAAGTAAAAGAAACCCTAAACAAAAGCACATCAGGAGGATTTCTTCAATACATCTCCGAGTTCAATCCTGTTAAGGAAAACAAATCTACAGGGTGAGCAAAAACGCTCGTGAGGCCAAGAACACGCATGCAGGCACATAGTTCAGGTAACAAGCCCAAGTAACGATTCAAGTAATAGCTTGCAAGTAATTAATAATGCCAACCAAAATGTAACCAGAAACAATTCAAGGATATGGTAGCTCTCAGGAGCTAAGTTCCACTTGCTTTGCCAGTTCATTCGTATATCTTCCCGTGATGACTCTCCGTCAACCGGGTTGATATTTCATATCCGTAGTTCACCACTTATTTCTCATCCGTCCACCATACACCACTTCGGGCCCGCACGACATTTATAAGGCTATACTTCACGAGTATGCCAAGCAAGATCTCTCAAATAGATCAAACTTATCATGTAATTCTCATGGCTCACCAATGTTCCCGACCAAGCCCATGCCGGCTCGAGTTCCAAGGTCGGCCTATGAGTTTGGGCGTCCCCATGTGTCATGTAAGTGTCAAGGAGATTCACTCCAACGACGTATGCAGCCATAGCATACCATATCATGTATTCAAGCATTTGACAGGTCTAAGCATGTATTTCAGGTCATGTAAATCAGGCAAACCATGTTAAGCATGAGTCATTTGTTTTAAATGGGGACTGACCCGAATAAACTTTGAATCGTCGGGAACTGACCCGAATAAGCTTTTGATCATGGAACTGACCGAAAATGCTTTTGATTCATGGAATGACCAAAATGCTTTTGATCGTGGGACTAACCCGAATAAGCTTTTGATCATGGGACTGACCCGAGAATCCTTTTGATCATGGGACTGACCCGAATAAGCTCTTGATCATGGGACTGACCCGAAAATACTTTTGATCGCGGGACTGACCCGAAAATGCTTTTGGTCTGGGACTGACCCGAAAATCTTTTGATCGTGGGACTGACCCGAATAAGCTTTTGATCGTGGGACTGACCCGAAAATGCTTTTGATCGTGGGACTGACCCGAAAATGCTTTTGATCGTGGGACTGACCCGAAAATGCTTTTGGTCATGGGACTGACCCGAAAATCCTTTTCGATCGTGGGACTGACCCGAATAAGCTCTTGATCATGGGACTGACCCGAAAATGCTTTGATCGTGGGACTGACCCGAAAATGCTTTTAATCGCGGGACTGACCCGAAAGGCTTTTGATCTGGGACTGACCCGGATAAGCTCTTGATCATGGGACTGACCCGAAAATGCTTTTGATCGTGGGACTGACCCGAAAATGCTTTTAATCGCGGGACTGACCCGAACAGGCTTTTGATCATGGGACTGACCCGGATAAGCTCTTGATCGTGGGACTGACCCGAAAATGCTTTTGATCGTGGGACTGACCCGAAAATGCTTTGACAATCGGTCAGTGGGATTAAACCCGAGCCTGCCGTGATAAAATTTGTGTTGATTTTTGATTGATGATTTTTTTCCTTTGCTCTTCTTTTTGACTTTTGAAAATCTTTCCAAAAAATTAATTTGCCCCAGTATGATGAATTTTTACAATGTGAGTCCAGAGTTGATTCTGTATCGCCATGCTGTCGCATTTTTGATGAAATTTACTTGCGACATTTTCAATCTGCCTTTGTTCACCGGAGGACTCTTTCCGACACCGATTCCTGTGCGAGGTGTGCTTACTTTCATCCGTGTATGCAATTTTCTGCAAAAGAGAGAAAAAACAAAGAAATTGCCACCATCATTTGATCCGTTTTCCTTTGAGAATCGTGTAAACATGAGTCTTTCAAGGTCTTTATCAACTTTTGCTGCGGCAGTCGATTGAGTTGGATTTCTCACCCTAAGGCTTTTCCGATTTTCAAACTGACCAGGTATGTGCTTTGCCATATTGCGAAGTCTGTGTAGCTGGCTTGGCTGAATTTCAACTATTCCCAAAAGATGACTGAATCCAAGCATACTTTTGAAATAAACCACTGGGATTGTTATTCACCAAAATTCAATGATAAAGAATGAGATATGCAAGAAAATTCACATGTCATGTAAGAAAGAATATGCACAAGAATGCACACATAACCATTTGTGCTTAAATTCTACAAAAATGCCATAAATGCAAGTAATTTGGAAAAAATGAGTTTCCTAAGAATGTATTTGCAAAAGAATGTTTTTACAAAATGACACAGCTTTAGCCAACGGATGTCATATTCGATTCTCTGGACATCTTTGCTCTGGAATTCAATGTTGGCTGAGGTATGACAAAAATAAGGAGAAAATCCAAATGAACCAAGTCATCAGCTGTTCCTTTTCATGCTTGCTTGCTGCCAAAAACCTGCCTTGGCGCCCTTTCGGGTTTTCACCAAGGTTGCCCTCACCCTTTTTTTTCTCGCCCTTTCGGATTTTCACCTAAAGAACAAAGAAATATCTCGACCATGATCGACTTAGAAACATGATTTGAAGATTTCTGGCATCAGTAGAATGTACTTCCCTTATGAGATTAGGCGAAAACATTACGGACATCACCTGCCAGTTGATTAGCAAATTTTCTTGATAGAGATACAGCAAAGAACTAAAGCCAGGACTTTTGGGCTTTTGTAATGAGGTCAGGTGGGGTGTTTCAAGAAAAGTTAAGGCTTGAACGCAATTTGTTCTTATGAGAGGTGAAATAACCTGAGATCATTTGAAATCATCTTCAATTTCGAATGAAATTGAGGGAAATTTGCCCCAGTTTGATTGAATTTTCTCTCTTTGCTTTTTTTTTTTGCATTTTTCTTCAAAGCTAAATTTGCCCCAGTGTAGGGTTTTCTGCTTTTCCTTTCATCTCTTTTTGATTGATTTGTCTTTTGGCCTTTTGCCATTCTTTTGAACTTTTTTCAAAAATTTGCCCCAGTGTAGGGTTTTCTTTTCTTTTGATCATCTCTTTTTCAAAATAACTTGGCCCCAGTGTGGGGTTTGCAACTCTCAGGGGCTGCAAAACGAAAATTACTGTTCTGATGGCTCAAAGGGGATAACTAGGGATGAAATGTTTTGATTGGAAAGGAAGATGGCCTGACTTTTACCTCGTCCCTTGCATGATTTTCCAAAAGAAATTTGCATAATCAAAAATAAAGATTTCTTACACATGTCTGATTTGATAGGTTGAGAGAATGTTTGCCCATCCATCTCTTCAAGGATAAGTGCTCCACTCGGTGGCACCTTTTTGAATGACAAATGTCCTTACCAGTTTAGATCAAATTCGTCTTTGACTTCATCTTGCATTGGCAAAACTCGCTTTAACTCTTTGTCCTCCTTCTCTAAAGGCTCGGAGGCGGACCTTTTTGTTATGAACACAGGCCACGCACTTTGATAACATTAGCCATGGCACATGGCGTTCAGCTGCTTTTCATCCATCAAAATCAATTGTCGGTGACGCTGCTTTAATCAATCAGCTTCGAACTTGGCAAAGAAGGGATTTTCTCAATGAAAAGATCAATTTCCTCAATGAAGGCTTCTTTCTCAATGAATTTCTCAATGAATTTCTCAATGAAGACTTTCTCAATGAAGGGATTTTTCATGAAGGGGTCTCTCAAAGAAGAGATTTTTGTCCTTCTCAAAGAAGGGATTTTTCATGAAGGGGTCTCTCAAAGAAGAGATTTTTGTCCTTCTCAAAGAAGGGATTTTTCAACGAAGGGATTTTTGGCATTTTCAAACGAAGGGATTTTTGGCCTTTTCAACAAAGGAATTTTTCACGAAGAAATTTTTGAATGAATGGTATTATCGGAATCCAGAACAGTGATATTCAAATGGTCAAATAATTCCATCTTTGGCCATCTAAAAGAATTAAAAAATTCGGGACAATAATCAAATAAACAGAAAAAACAAATTATGCATTTGATGGAAAAACTAATCAAAACGGAAACAAGACAAAACTTAGTTGCAAAAGATGTTTTCATTAAGCTATTCACATATGCAAGAAATGGTTTTCGTGAACCTTAGTAAATAACAACCCCTAGATTTACCGAAATTCCCTTCGAGAGGGAAGATACTCGGCCATTCAAATTATGCAAAGCTCCTTCAGGATTTTCAAATTCTGTCATTGGAGGTGGATGCTTCGAAGGTGTCCTTGTGTTCAGGGAAAGGATTTGTACTTATGCTCGGCCCTGGTTCACCTCTTTTCCCCAGCATTATTTCCCCTGCCTCGATCATGTCTTGGACTTTGTGCTTGAGTGCCCTGCAATCGACGGTTGAGTGACCAGGTACTCCCGAATGATAGGCACAAATAGCATGTGGATTGTACCCAGCAGGCATGCCATGAAGGTAAGTTGGAGGGGGAATCACGCCTATTTTGTTGGCAGCCTTCAATTGCTCATACAATTGGTCCAAAGGCCTGTCTAGGTTGGCGAAAGTTCGGGTACGGCTTTGATTGTAGGTTTCAGTGGGTCGGTGATAGTTGTAGGTGGGTCTATTTGGTGGGGAAAATCTTTGGTGGTAAGGG